ATTGCTCGGGATCCCGAGCAGTCAATTAGAGAAGACATTCCTCGTCAAATCAATACACACGCTGCCAGTGCCTGATGATCACCTACTGACCACACTGACAGCAATCATGAGCTTCTAAGGTATAAATACCCCTCCCAAAAAGGCAAACGGGTATGCAATCACAAACTCTCGACTACGAAATATCCTTCTCAGTGTTTTCTCCTTCCTCTCTCTCATTCAAAGACTGACTAGACCGTCGGAGGGGATACGCCGGAAAACACTCCGGCGCCCTTCTAACCTGTTCTCTTTTGTTCAGGAAATACTTTTCGCACGTACAGGATCGTTCCTCCTTTCCCAGGATCTTCCTTCACCGCTCCAGGTTGCCACCGTTCCTTGTAGGCTGTTTCGAGCAGTGTGCTTGGCCACTCAATCGGCTCACCCAAAGTTCACCGGGGGAGAGATCTGTTCCCAATATTTTATATATCGTGCAGGATCAAGCCCGCACACTATCCTCCCTAAGAGACTAGTATTTTGACCTTCACGCATCGCCTCAATTAGGGTTCTATGCCTATAAATTATAAGTTTTCTACACACGAAGGACACACAACTATCTTACACACACCACACCTTGAGCTTTTCTCTGTCCCTCACCTACTACTTTATTCTCTCATTAATAAAGCTTCCGGCCATAGTTGTCGTCTTCAGTGGTTAGGTCACCTACGCCTAACCACCTAATTTTTATGTTTTAGTATTAATTGTTTTATTAATTACTTTACTTCATATACTCGACTAATTTAATTGTGCATAGCCTATTTTCTGGAACATCAAAGTGTATAATCTTTTGGCCCAAGAGGGATAAAAAAGCAGAAAAGTAAAACATAGAAAGAAAAAAAAATACTAATAAGAGAATAATGGGAATGCAAGCAACAAAGCACAATATTGCTCGCTGATTACGCAATTTAAGGGTCTCAGGTGTTGATGTAATACTACCTGTAAATGGGACCCATTAAAGGTCCCATGTTGTTATGTCATTTATATATAAAATTATTTTAATGGTACTATAATCTAGGGTTTTGACAAAAAAAATCAAAATAAACTTGAAATTGTACCACTTACCATTTTTTCGGTAATGTATACATTTTTTGTTAGTAGAACTTATTAACTTTTAACTTTTAGAGTTGTTTTTTTAATTTTTTGGCATAATTCGAAAAATGAAAAATGGGTACAGAAGTGTTTCTTAGGGTCCATTTGGTGAGGAAGAAAATAATGATGAAAAGTGAAAATGATATAAAGTAAAATGAAAGAAAAAAAAATGATAAAAAATATATTTTATGTATGTATTTGGCTCAAATGAAAAACTTTCAAGAAAGTTTTAAAAAAAATTTATTCTATTGTTTGAAAGAAATAAAAGTTACAAGAAAATTTTTTTAATTGTTTAAATTGTCTTTAATTATATTAACTTGATATTATAATTGAAAGGTAAAAAATAAAAAAAAATGGCTCGTAACCTAATTCTAAGACAAGTACCAGCATGACAGTCTTTGGACCAAATTATACAGTTAATCAAATTTATACCAATATTTTTTAAAATTAATAACCAATAAAATATTTTAAGAAAAATAAGTATAAAATAAAAAATTAGTTATAGATTACAACTGTCTTGTCTTTTCTTGTATTGTTTACAAAAAAAAATTAGTTAGTTGTGAGAAAATTCAAGCATAAAAAAAAATTATTTTTTTAATAATTTTTCATTTTATACTAATCAAACACATAAAAATTTTCTATTTTTTACATTTTCTATTATTCTTTCACTAAACAAACGGACCCTTAAGATTTGAACAACCTATGCTCCATGGTTGACTCCCACCCATCCAACTTGCCACTAAATCCCACTATAAAAACTGGGAAAATAAAGTTTTCCCCCGATAGAAGAAAGAATAATTAACAAGAGTTCAATTCATAGTCACTACATAAACAAAAGAAAGTTGTGGTTGCAAACGGGTAGAAGGGTGGAAGAGCAAAAATACACATTGCAACGACGTTACTATGTTAAAATTGTCACGTAATATCTTCAACCAATAAAACAGACAAATAAAGAATTGAACCTCACACAAGGCAATAACTATCTCATTCATGTAAACAGATAATTACCAACTTTCTTCCATATAAATCAATAACTATTTGAGATTCACTTTATCCATTTAGAATTTTATCATAGTTGATAATATCATGTTATCAACACTTAAACATAGTATCACCAATGTATAAAATATTCTCTCGGAACCAAGAGGGAGGGGGATGACTGTATTAGTGATATGATACGATCAAAAGATATTCATTTTGAGAGAGAGAGAGAGATGCACATTGCGTAGTATGCTAAACTGCAACTTAATATAATTAAAGCTCACTACAGTAGCATTTTTTTCTCAGAAGAGAAATCTCTACACTTATTTTGTTTATACCTTGAACCCTGCCACATATATCAACTAAGCAGACTATTACTTACAAGCACTCTTCTTGCTTCCTATGAACATTACATAACTAGATCTTCAGAAACTTCTCGGATTTCTGTACCATTCTTTCTCTATATAAGTAAACGAAAAGAAGAAAAACCATCTGTTGTTTTGTTCCTGCTTGAATAGGTATGAAACTGCGGTCAACTGACTGTTTTAACACCTACTTTTTATGGAAATTTAAAATGAAGGAAAATAAACTACTCTTGTATTGAACCCACTATAAATGGTCTTCGAAATTCAGTCTTCTTTATCTCCACAATCCTTCTCTGTTTCTGCATCTATGTAACTGTTGAAATGCCACACCCTATTGAGGATGCAAACGGGCTATCTGGAAGGTTTAGTCCTTGATTACTGCAATTTTTTAAGAAAATCAACCAAAAAGAGACAGTCAGGAAAGATACAAATGCTATCATGACCAAAAATACATTAAATCAAACTATATAGTCCCCTTGACAATGATATATGTTTGTTTATGTGACTACAACAAAAGAAATAAAACCAACCAAATTGATCACAACAACATAACTCTTTTTCAACTATCGACGAAAAAAAACAAAGTATGCCAATAAATGTGATCGCGACACAAAATAGTTTTCTTTGAGCTAACGTCAAATTAGCCTTTTTTGACAAACGACAAAGTGCTATCATTAAAAACTTTCCATCATAATCAATTTCATTATAGACATCCCAACAGAATCAATCAATGTTAGAAACAAAGAAACACACAAATAAGCATGATTCAGGCTCTGTTCATTGCGTAACCATCATTCCTATCCTGATAATATATTTAAAATGCCCAGGAAAAAAATATTATTTTTCATACCTCTCCTGGTCGTTGTAAGTTGTATTTATGTGCCTAACTGTATCTTCACTAGTAGAACCATTGTTCAGAACATCTAGCAGATAGTTAAAGCGGGCAGCAGACGGGAACTGTGATTGTTCTGCATGGGCTGTGGTGACAAATAAACACAAAATACAATCACCCGATATGGCTATTGAAAAGTAGCCGTAAAAGAAGGTAAAAAAATAGCAGCAAGCAACAAGAAGAAATGGAAAATAGCAATAATTATTTTGTAAAATGGAAAAAAAAAAAACCTTCACAAAGCTTCAATTCATCCATTGTGTAGCCCAAGTAGGGCTGATGGTTCAACAGTTTAGTAGCTAATTGCAACCCCAAGAGATGCCTTCTCTCAAGTTCAAGTGCCTGCTCGTGTTCTTCCATGAACTGCTTCCTAAGTAATCTTGAACTGTCACAAACTCGGGGAACTAGAGAAAATGTCAAAACAAAGGAATGAAGGTAATTAGGAGTAAATAACGCACATCATAAACACAAAATCCAGAAAAAGAAACTTCACGGTCCACTTAAGGTTGCTTCTCACTTGGAGGAAGCTCAGATTCTGGATCAAGAAAGTCAGAACCAGAGTATAAAGGGAGATGCATTTTCTCGGGATACTTCCTGCAAAATAAAATGTGAAAATTTCAGAATTCAACTTATTTTATCTACTGTTACTAAAAAAAAAGGAAAATATTGCAGCCTATATTTCCTAGTGCAGCTACATATTCCCAAAATTTGTAAAGAGTACGATGCGTGAGAGGAAAATATTACTGCAAATAACAATTTTTGTGACACCTCACTGATACTTATATTCACCAAATTATGAAAAGTGAGAATAAATTGGAACACTGAGCTAAAGTTGACATCAATAATGATTTTAACCAACAAGATAGGAGAAATAAGCACTATACAAGCTTGACTCGAACTCGATAGGATCAACTTGTTTATGTGTAAATATACTCGGGCTCGGCTCGGATTCGGCTTATTTCAGGCTCGTTCAAGCTCAGCTCGTTTTCTAAACGAGCCGAACTTAGATAATTTTGTAGGCTTGTTTAAAACAACGAGCTCAACAAACTCGCCTTGAGCTCGTTTGGGCTTGTAGCCCTATCTAGAATGAGAAAAGATAGAAAAGGTGTTAGAGGAGAAGAATTGGAAGGCTTTCCAATTAGATGTTGACAGATAAACACGACTAAATCTCTACGGAATATACGTGTCAACGACTCAACATTGTCATAATTAATTGATCAATGGGTACTCAACTATATTGAAGTTTAATTTGGTAAATTGAGAAAAACTTGGAAAGATTAAATTTATAATCTCCATGTTCAAGAACCCAAGATGTCTCCTAAGGGACAGATTAAGCAAGACAAATTGAACTACAGAAGCAGCAGTGCCCATCTGCAAGAAGATACGTGTAGTAATCGCCATAGAGAACGGAGGGAAAAACGACAAGACCATATTGATAAAAAGAGGCATGACTTAAATAGGCCACACTCGGCCAATCTGTGTCAAAGATCCGACAAACGTGCAAGGCTGAATGTTTTTGGTCTCATATACAGATGGAAAACGAAGATACGGGCATAAAAAGCTAATGACATATAAATGCAAAAAATAAATTCCCTCTTAAAACAGACTAACAAAATACCTATCGACAAGTTTTGACTTCTCCCTGTAAGGTTTCACCAGAACACGCGCCCCACATACGAAGTGAGGATTCCCCTTTGTCAGAATCTGCTTGACTGTCTCTGCGAAAACGAAAGTCACAAAGCCAAACATCCTCTTCTGCTGGCAAGGAATCCTAACATCTTGAACAGGCCCAAATTTGCTACCAAAAACAAAATAGGTTTTTAATGGAAAAACCAAATTCATAACGGCCACAACTACTAGTGACAGCATACCAACTCTCTTACCTAAAATAGTTGGAAACATCTTGCTCAGTAAAAGTGCTGTCTGCTGGAAAAGTCAGATAAATTTGTCGAGAACCAGCCGCAATTGGTCCATGATCATTTCTTTCCCCATTGTACTCCATGTATTTTGGAATATCATCCACCAAAATGACTGAATGCTGCCCATGAGGTCTGTAACCAAACACCAACAATCCAAGAATTAATGACTGATGAATGACAACAATGATGACTGATGAATGAGAATGATGAATTTACATATTGCACCTGTCGAGGAGACGAATGCTGTTCTTGAGCCGAGCAAGAAGCTTGGTCAGGCTATAACCTACTTTCCCATGTCTCTGGCTTTCTGTGAGGTAACCCTCAGCCTGAAGTGTCTTCCCATACTTCTCATAGTACAGCATTGGCAAAGAAGCAATCGAAACAGGATATCCTCTTCTAGTTTTTAAAAGCTCCGTGAGTTCCATCTCCAATTTCTCAACAGATCCCGGTGAGAAGACATAATCATCATTCACAATTTCATTTGAACTCAGATTAAAGATCTGAGAGAAGCTTTCTGGCATGGGATGTCCATGAGAATACCTACAGTTGCTTCCATGCTTACAGAACCCCTTGCTGAAGTAATGGCAAACCTTTACAGGAAATTCAGGCAAACTTGGGGATCTCCTATTGACTCTTGGGCCTAACGTTAAGGTAGGTTCTTGGTAATAGTAATTACCGGAAAAATCAGAACCAAATGCATTAACGGGCTCTAACTGATCTTCCAAAGATAAGAACTGAAGTTGGTTCTGGAGACAGTAGTCATCAGCAACTGCATCTGAATAAGCCACTGGGACGTAATCCAGGTTGTGAATTGTATGCTGATCAGAATGAACTTGAGGATCCCAATGGGACTGCGTGGCTCGAAACGTTGCAGGAGATGAAAAGGGGCGAGATGAAGCTGGCGAGAATGGAGTGAAGTGTAAGGGACGATCCGAAACTGGTGCTGGGTTCACCTGAAGAGGTAAAACTTGGGCAGAAAATGCCTGTTTGGAGGCTAATCCAAGCTTGGTTTTGGCTTGGTTGATCACAGACTGGATCACATTATCAGGGCTAAAGGCCAACCTTATCATCTCCCTCTCACCATGATCTTGTAAAAGGAGATATCCAATAATTTTAGGAACATTTTCTGGTTCTAGTTTCTGGATTCTATTATACACTATTTTTGTAGATTCAGAAAAGTCCATCTCAATCTTCAACCTAACAAATCAACCACATATTGCCTTAGATACTACAAGATTGTGCATCAAATCAAGAATCCTCTTACTCAACATAACAAAGTACACACCTGACCTATGGAATAAATTTAAATCCAGTTAAACATACCGATATAACGACTCTAGGAATTAAAAACAGTCCAAAACTGTATATGAATATGCATATTAGATTAGCAATTTTCATTCTATTCTCTGCCAATAATCAATTAGGGAAGAACCCGATTTGGCAAAAAATATGAAAGGAAAACATTAATGTATAACAAAAAGTAGTGTGTTTCCACCAAGTTTAGGCCACAATAAATATCACCACCTTGTTTCTTACAACTGGGCTTTAGGATTTTACCCATAAAACGCCAATACACTACAAAAACTCTAGCCAGAAAAGAAGAAACACTACCAGCAGCAGCATGTTAAACAATAAAATAAAATAAAAACATTAATTAAAAGCAGAATACAAAGCCTAGAACAAGAAAGATTCACAAGTTCCAGAACAGCATGAGCAGAGAAAATAGTAAAAAACAAAAAAAAAAAATACTAATTTCCCTGTGTAGCATAAATAGGGAAAAAAAATNGCTCTAACTGATCTTCCAAAGATAAGAACTGAAGTTGGTTCTGGAGACAGTAGTCATCAGCAACTGCATCTGAATAAGCCACTGGGACGTAATCCAGGTTGTGAATTGTATGCTGATCAGAATGAACTTGAGGATCCCAATGGGACTGCGTGGCTCGAAACGTTGCAGGAGATGAAAAGGGGCGAGATGAAGCTGGCGAGAATGGAGTGAAGTGTAAGGGACGATCCGAAACTGGTGCTGGGTTCACCTGAAGAGGTAAAACTTGGGCAGAAAATGCCTGTTTGGAGGCTAATCCAAGCTTGGTTTTGGCTTGGTTGATCACAGACTGGATCACATTATCAGGGCTAAAGGCCAACCTTATCATCTCCCTCTCACCATGATCTTGTAAAAGGAGATATCCAATAATTTTAGGAACATTTTCTGGTTCTAGTTTCTGGATTCTATTATACACTATTTTTGTAGATTCAGAAAAGTCCATCTCAATCTTCAACCTAACAAATCAACCACATATTGCCTTAGATACTACAAGATTGTGCATCAAATCAAGAATCCTCTTACTCAACATAACAAAGTACACACCTGACCTATGGAATAAATTTAAATCCAGTTAAACATACCGATATAACGACTCTAGGAATTAAAAACAGTCCAAAACTGTATATGAATATGCATATTAGATTAGCAATTTTCATTCTATTCTCTGCCAATAATCAATTAGGGAAGAACCCGATTTGGCAAAAAATATGAAAGGAAAACATTAATGTATAACAAAAAGTAGTGTGTTTCCACCAAGTTTAGGCCACAATAAATATCACCACCTTGTTTCTTACAACTGGGCTTTAGGATTTTACCCATAAAACGCCAATACACTACAAAAACTCTAGCCAGAAAAGAAGAAACACTACCAGCAGCAGCATGTTAAACAATAAAATAAAATAAAAACATTAATTAAAAGCAGAATACAAAGCCTAGAACAAGAAAGATTCACAAGTTCCAGAACAGCATGAGCAGAGAAAATAGTAAAAAACAAAAAAAAAAAATACTAATTTCCCTGTGTAGCATAAATAGGGAAAAAAAATTGATGGTTCTGAATAAAAGAAAAAGGCCAAAACAAACATGTTTGATCCCACATAAACTCAATGTTAAAACAAAAACAAGTTTAGAAATAGAGAAAGAATGGCTGCCTTCACAATGATATAGAATAAGAAGTAAACTAGAAATGGTGTTCTTGAATAGTTTCCAATGGCAAATGAACAAGAAAAGAAAATTGTTTCCTTTTTCCATGAAGAATTATAGAAGAGAAAAATTAAAAAGAGACATTTGAAACAAAATTCTCAACATTTCAAAGAAACACAACTGATAATTATAAAGAAAAACATGCCCAAGATCGCATTTTGCAAAAGAAATGCCATTAACAAACAGTATGCAGCTTAAAATCTTCTCTTTTTTTTGCTATTTAAACTATCCAGTGAAGAACACAGTTGAAAAAAAAAGAAGAAGTTGGTTTTTTAATGTCAAAAATCAAGTATTTTCCACATAAATTAACAATCAAAAAGAGTAAAAACAACAAAAGATGGTGTTTTTAAAAATATTTTTGAAACATTCTAGTAAAAGCCCAAACCCAGAAATCAAATACTAGCCACTCTGCCATTGTTCTACACCATTTCACAAGCCCCAAGTCAAAGTTCAGATTTTTTCACCAGATTCAACCATGAAAATTGCTTCAAAGAGAGAGAGAGGGGGAAAAACAAGAAGACCAAAGCAAAGATCTGAGATACCCACCAAATCTTACAGGGGCTCTAAACACAGAAACAAGGTCAGACTAACCAATCAATGGACTCAAACTTCCTCCATGATTGATTGATTATTCCTTCCTATCTCTGTGTGTTATGTTCTTCACCTTCTCTCTCTCTCTGCCTCTTTTTCTCTCTCTACCTGTGTTTCTCTCTCCAGTGACTTTGCTATTTTTATCATCTTCTATTCAAATAACTATACCCTCAATTCTCCGCAAAAAAAACGACACCAATCTTAGAAAAAAGCAATGTGACAGAAAGGATAGCTTTAAATAGATCCTTGTCTTTATTTCAAATGAAAACACACTTATAATACATACAAAACTTCCCCCCACATACTACAAAGTAAGCACACCAAGGATGGCCCTAAATGGTTAATTGGAAACACTATTTACTCACTGTTCTTTCCTTACACTGAAACTCAAACATTGTCAATCACACCTCAGAAATGAATTAGTTTATTTAATAATTTAATAATTTTATAAGTTTTGTTTCGCAGGTTTTTTAAATTAAGAATTGCACTCAAATTTACAAGTTAAATGAAAAAAAAATCTGCACTCAAAATAACATAGATTGTTTCTTTTGAATTCTACAGGGTCCACATAATTATCCATGTTTTTTGAATTTCCTGTATATACATACCTATGTGGCTAAGCTTTATCTAGTTCTAAGATTCAAAAGCATTTAAAAACTGACCAGATAAGCAGAAGCGGAAATTATAAGATGTGATCACTATGCACCAATCTAAAATACTATGGGCACATCAGAACTGTAAAGAAGCAACTACAACATACCCCGGAGGACCCACTTGAAATAAAACTCACTGAAGTGCATTATAGATGACGCACATCCATTGTACAGGACAATATACACCACTTTGCATGTGTGCCACTTGTCAATGTAGCCTGGAACCTTGCAGTGGGTGGTATCAACATTGTCAATTTATGGCAGGTGAGTTAATTTGACCTTGATAGTCAAAATCATAACTGAGCAATCTTTTTTCACGGTAAATCTTAACCGACTGGAGAAGATTGCGGTACCAAATAAAATTTAAATTTCGTAGCTTAATGTTTGTAAATTTGAATACATTTTTAAATTTATTTGTAAAAAAAAAAAATTATTTTTTTTTTTAGTTCTATTACAATTTTTAAGATTTGAGTTAAAATTTTGAACTTTTTGCATTTTGTACCCAAACAAATTTTAAAATTTTTATTTTACACAATCAAATATTAAATTTTTTACCTTGTATCAAAAATGTTGCAACATGACTCTTCGATTTTTTTTGTTATTTTTTTATCAAAAACAAACACATTAACACTAACAAAAATACCAATAGAAAGTTAACTGAATGTTCAACACTCCTTATAGTTTATATTTAAATATTACTGATATCCCCTATTTTTAAACCACCATTTTTAACAAAAAAATTTATCTAAAATACCAAAATTATCTCTACATAAATCCCAAATAATTTTTCTACATAAAATGCAATTAAAATTTGAGTCGATTAAAATTAATTTTTTTATATATTAAAATTCGAGTTAATTAAAATTTATTTGTCTATATATTAAAATTTGATTCGAATTGATTAAATTTTATTTTTTTAAGTATTAAAATTTAAGTCTATTAAAAAAAATTACATATTAAAATTCAAGATAATTTGAACTCTATCTGAGCTATTAGCATCAATTAAAATATGCTTCAAGTTTATATTTTTTTTTACTTATTAAAATCAAGATTTGCCCAACACAAATTGGGGCTTAAAGCAAGAAAATATTTTACAGAAATTTACGGTATGATTTTTTTTCAAAGTTTTACTTGTTTTAGGATCGAGCAGAATCAAATAATAAATTAGGTGTAATTGTAAAGTCAAAATTTTTTAGATGAATAAATTGAATAAAGTGTTAAAGAAATAACAATATAACTAAAGATACAGACAAAAACAATGAGACTGGAACGGAGAGAAAGAGTTAGAGAAAAGCGGTGAGAGTGGAGGAAAAATTAATGAAAAGAATTTGAGAGAGATTATTACTTTTAAAGCTATAAGTCATTAATTTTATATATTTTTTAGAAGATTTTGTTATATTTTAAAACGTTCTATAAAGATTTACATAGACTTTGTGAAAAAATTGTTACATTTTAAAATTTTCTATAACATTTTAGATAAACTTGTGAAATATATTTATCCTTTAACTTAATCCTTTTAAAAAGGCCTCAGAACTTAAAGTTAAACAAATAGTTGAAAATTAAATTGGATCTCTAAATTTTTTAGGCTCTAGACGGCTATTTTAATGGTCAGGCCCTAAGGCCAACTCTAATGTGCCTCCTCTCATATAAAAGATTGAAGTATATATGCATCTCGTAACAATTGTAGTTTTTACTCGTTCCTAATTGTCAAATTTTGGTCTATAAAACTAATTAAATAAGACAAATTGATTACTAGATGATGTGTAATGATTAAAAGTAATATATGTATTATTGTATATTTTATGCATTTTTTTATTGACCGTTATAAGGTACTATTACAATAAAGATGTTCAATATTATAATGTGGTGTCACATAATATTTATTTTTTAGTAATTTAGGCATCTAATATATATCAAACATTATTGAAATTTGTTTTATATTAACTAGTTTTATTGTGGATCATTTATGAGAATGAACAATTTAATTAGTTGATATTCTTGTGTTTAAATGAAAACAAAATTGAGTTTAATAAATGGTATTTTTTTTAAGAGAGATACTTATTATACTTTTTGATCAAAGTGTAAACTTTTTTTTGTTCTTTAATAAATGTGTATGTGTGAGATGAACTGCACTTTTTTGACGTAAAATTTGAATTTTATTTTTTTTGACATTATCTTTCAAGAGGTTTTTTATTAAGCTAAATTATAATGAATTTTAATATTTGATATATACTTACCTTTTTATATGTGGGGCATAAAGCCCATGTTTTTTTGACTCTACTGTTGAGTCGGCTTTGATTAAAATTCATGTTAATTAAAATTCGATTCAAATTAATTAAAATTTATTTTTATATATTAAAATTTGAGTCGATTAAAATTTATATTTTTTTATGTATCCAAATTTGGACTAATTAAAATTTAATGTGAGTTGATTAAAATTTGATACGAGTCGATTAAAAATGAATTTTAATCAACTTGAATATAATTTTTAATCAACTCAACTTTTAATACATAAAAAAAAAATTTAATTAGCTCGAATCGAATTCTAATTTTTTTTTTCTTTTTTTCTTTTTTTTTCCCTAATTTTTTGGGAAGGGGAGGGGGAGGGGGAAGGGGTAAGAGAGCTTGAACCTTTGACCTCAAGAAGACAAAATTTTTACAAGGTAAGAAAATTTAGACAAGGTATTTTTTTTAATACGTAAAAAAATTTTAAAAATAGTAGGGTCTCATTGAAGATATACTTATCTAGAGGAAGTGTGGATGGATTTTTTTTGAAATACATTATGACTAATTTAGTAAAGTTGCATCGTAATTAACACCTTTAATTTGGTAGGGTATCAGTGATGATTTAGAAAATAGGAGAGCTATTTTTAAAAATATGATAAACTATAAAGGGTGTGTATGGCTGCAATTTTTTATTTTTTTTTAACAACTGTCTTTCCAAAAATCTTTATTGCATACACGTATCCAATTTGGCAACTATGAGATCCACGCCGAAATGCTATAATCTTAATTGCATACACGTATCCTTTTTTCTTTTTAACAACTGTTTTTTTTAGGAGTGCTGTGATTGATTCACGAGGAAGAAAGATAATTCTTAATTCAATTTTTTACTTTAACGATATAAAAAAAGATTGATCAAATTGTAGGGCAAGAAACGAAGAGGTTGTCCCAATTTTCAACCTCTCGATGACAAAGTATACATTGAACATTTAGAACTAAATCATAATCCTGCAAATTTTCCTGAATGTTTAATCTATCTCGGATTGCAAGCGATAGAACCATAGTTCAATTGAACATGTAAGTTATATTCGTCCTGATTTCTCATGTGGAACCATAAAAAGAATTCAATCACTATTAATTGGTATCTTTATTTATGGATCAATGACGATAGATGCATTCTCCATAGTTTCAGCATTATGACAAGCCCGTGTCAAATATATAGCATTAAGCCAAGAAATTAACAAACGATAAATCCAGGAAAAGGGATCTAGAAGTTATCAAAAATTCTTTTAGTCTAACTCATAATGATTATTTATCAAATGATTACTTTAGTTATCAAATAATTGAACAACCGAGAACAATTTATTTATCATACATAGTTGACATTCATAAAAAATATGTAATTGTTTATGAGTTCTTTCTTCACGACGATAAGATTGGGTGGATAAATATAAACCCATAGAAATATTTAGTATTTAAATTAAAATTTTTAATAATTGAATTGAACCGAAGGGGAAAAAAACACGTGTTTGATTTAGATTCAACTAGTCCTCATGTTGAACCTTCAAATTTTTGGAATTCAATTCAAATTCAACCCAAATTTAAATTAAACAAAATTCGAGTTCAATTTGTGTAACCTACAACTAAATTCATATAGAATATAATTTCAACTTGAATTTAGTCCGAAAATATGTAACGTGAGTTAGCACTCAAATTAAAGAGTTCAGGTTGAATTCGACTTTGAGTTAAAAAAATTTTAAGTCGATAAATTGTTAAACACATGAGTACTAAGTTAAACACTTTGGGCTCAAGCTTCTATGAGCAAAGACACTGGCCAGCTAGAGGTGTTCATGGGTCGGATTGGTCTACAGGTTTTGTTATTATACCCAAAGTCCAATAAACTCAATAGCTGACATGTCCAAGTCCGAAGCCCAATACCCTTCAAGATAAGTCTTACGTTTGCCCTTAGGCCCATTATCCAGCCCATGAGGTGGCGCGGCAAAATCCCATGAAATTCGGCCCAAGAGTCCGACAGAACTTAACAATTCCAAACAATACGACTTTACCTATTCAAACGAGTGCGACATCTTAAATCATAACTATTCATGCGACTATAGAAAAGTTTAAGACTACCTCTAGGGTCTATTTGTTTTAGCAGGATAAAGTAGAAAATTCAAGAAAGAAAAAGTTTTCAAAATTTACATATGTTTGTAAGCATGAATTCTTTCCTACTTAGATTTTTTCACAACTAACTACTTTTTTTTTCTACAAAAAATACAAGGAAAAATAAGAAAAGTTGTGATCTGTAATCTAACTTCTTATTTTATCTTTATTTTCTTAAAATATTTAATTGGTTACTAATTTTAAAGAACACTTAGTATGAGATAGATTAACTATATAATTTAGCTTGACGAT